AAATTTACGATAGCGAGCGCACACGCGAGGTCCGGAAGGTCATACGATAGAATTAACACGAGTACATGTATATTAAAGATGAGTTTTTTTTCTACCCTTCATGCATCGCTTCTGTTACATTTTTTCTGCAAAATTTAACTAATTTTTTTTTATTTTTTTTCGAGGAACCATCTGCGTTTCTGGTCGAGACGATATATACATATATATATATATATATATATATATAAACTATTTATTAATTATATTATATATATAACTTATATATATATAATATTATATACATTCAATCATGATTTTAATTGGTAATCTCCCTCCATTTTACATACAGAAACGCATTACAAGAGATAAGAGATTGCGGAAATAATCTTTATAAAAATGATATTTATAAAAACTCAATCAATTTACAGGAAGACACAGACAATTTGAATTCAATATACAATTCAATTCTTAATATAAATAAAGTTTAGTACTTACAGAATGCTCGATCTGCACGCATTGTCTTTCAACGACGCATTAAAGTAACGACTTACTTTAAACGTGCCTGTGCAATGAAATAAAGATCTGTGATGTGTTTAAGTTAGCCAGTCTGGTCGTTTACTTTAGCTGTCCTTGATAAAATATATATAATAATAAAATATATGTAAAATATCAAATGATATGTAATATATTATATTACATATATATAATTTAAAATTAAAAGGGAGAGGGAGAGATATTGCGTGATACTAAAATACCATAAATGATAATGTGGCGGTGTAAAGAGGAATCCCAAATAATGCACTTTCGCGAGCTATTATATATTTGATTGCAGAAATATGTGGGAAGAGTTTATAAGCGTACGTTTGCGCTGATTCTGTTGCAGATATGAGAATCTTTCTCTTCAGCGGGTTTCTTTTAACTGGGCTTTGTCGTAGCGCCAGTACCGGATGATTACGTGGATTCATCGGAATCCGCGGAAATAATGGACCAGGATACGAATACGTGCCACTACATCAGAGCTAATTCGTTATTGGAAGCGAGATGCCAATGAAAATCGATGAAAATCTCGTTAGATTTGAATCCGGACTACAGGTGAGATTGTCGTTTAAATAATATTTTATTTAAAATTGCAATAAAATAATTGGTATGTATTTTTTACCATTATTAAAAGAATATTTTCTGCATATATATTATATATATATATGTAGGAATCGAGAATTTATCGTCTTAAGTCCGTTTTTATTTCAAGTTGTTTTGATATATTGTTATTTCTCGTGTTGACGAATCGGTCGTGGCCGAAATTTATTGTGACTTGCGGGTCTATTGTCTCGAGCCCGTATTTGTCTTGAGACAGTTTTTGTACTCTTGTTTTGCCATGCGATGGATTAGATATGCGAATTTGAACACTCGATGTGTCGCTTCCTGATTGGCTCACGCGGGGCTTGACGATGATATAAAGCGTTTCTCCCGAGGTTCCGGGAGAAGAGCACCGAATTTCGCGAAGCCGTAGAGTACGTGGAACTGCGGATAAGTTATCTGAATATACCTATATTAAACCATTTCTCGTAATACATTATTATTTGATCCGAAATAAGACACGATCCGTGATTCCTACATAATTTTGGGGGCTCGTCCGGGATGGAACTGTGAGAGACAGTAACAAGCTGCAGTAATACCGAGTGCGATAGCGTTGCCTGAGACTGCTGAGTGCATTGGAGCGAAGGACAAGGTTGACTTTGAGTGAGTCGACGAGACGTAATGAGTCCTACGAAGAGTTCCTCTGGTTTAACGGTCCTGGTGCTTAAGGAGAAGCTGAGGACCTTGGGGCTAAGTACGACCGGAGCAAAAAGCGAATTAATTAGCCGATTATTGGAAGCGGATCCTGTGGGTGATTGGCTCGGCGAGCGAGAAAACAATGTGCAGAATAATATGTTGCACAGCGAAGAACAAGATACATCCGTGGCATCCGCAGCATCCGGTGTGAGCGAGACGGAGATGACCCGGCGGGAGCTGGACATGCTCAGGAGAGAGAGAGAACTCCTAGGGCGAGAGCTCGCGTTGGCGCGGCGAGAGGCTGATCATCTTCGGCAGGAGAGAGAGAGCGAGAGACCGAGCGTGGCCGAGAAGGTGAGAGATGGACGGAGACGATGGGAGCGACGGTGCGAGTCGGCATAACAGCGATTGCTGAATTGTTAGCACATTTTGACGGGGCCACCGACTCCTGGAGCGTCTGGGAGAAGCAGGTGCGTCTCCTCGCGACTACCTATGGGTTGCGAGATAATATGATTAAAATATTAATAGGCTCACGCCTCAAAGGAAAAGCGGCCGAATGGTTTCGTTCAAAGCCGGAGCACATCGAGATATCGGCAGACGATCTTTTGGCAGAAATGAAGGACATGTTCGACCACCGCCCGAATAAAGTAGCGCGCAGAAAAGAATTTGAGGGACGAATCTGGAGGAAAGACGAGGCTTTCAGCGCGTACCTCCACGATAAAATAATTCTGGCGAATAAGGTGCCAGTCGAAGAAGGCGATCTCGTTGATTACGTCATTGACGGAATAGCGGATATAAATCTGCAAAACCAAGCGCGGATCCAGGGATTTGAGACGACGGCATCTTTGTTGCGGGCATTTGAGAGGGTGACCTTCCGGCCGAAGGGTCAAAAAGATGGTACGGCAACCCCGATGGGACAACCTGGCGGTGACGCGAGATCTCAGGGAGGAGCGAGGCAGCGGAGAGGCGACGGCGAGGCGCAGAAACCACGACGATGTTATAATTGCGGCGGACAAAATCACATCAGTGCGAATTGCCCGACAAAAGAAAGTGGAGTGAAGTGTTTTCGGTGCGGCGAGCGCGGGCACGTAGCGGCGAAGTGCACTGGAAAAACGAGCACTAAAGATAGTGTGCGGTGAGCGAGTTCCGCGATAGAAAATATTATAAAGACGTGCGCATCGTTGATTGCGATATCCGAGCGATAATAGATACCGGTAGCGATATGTGCTTAATGCGTGCGGATTGCTATAGTCGATTGAACGTTCCGTTAAAAGAGAATAAAATCTATTTCCGTGGTATAGGATCGGACGGTAATGAGACGTTAGGCGAGTTCGAGGCCGACGTTCGTATAGATGATAACGTGTATTCAATGAAAATATGGGTAGTTTCCGATGAGCTCATGCGATATGATTTAATTATTGGAGCCGATTTTCTAAGAACTGTAGAGATTTTAATAAAGAATGAAATACTAGTTTTGAGGCCAAATTCGGATCAGGGATTGTCAAAAATACCTGAAGTGTTACAGATCGACTATGAGTATGAAGCGAATAAATTTGACATTGCGCACCTTGACGATAAAAATAGAGATACATTAGAAAATATGATACAAAATTATACGCCGAATAAAATACGCGATATAGATGTAAAAATGCGATTAATTCTTAAGGACGATGAACCTGTGTATCAGCGAGCGCGGAGATGTTCCGAACAGGAGAAGCCGATAATAAAAACACAGATAGGCGAGTGGATGTGTAAGGGTGTGGTGCGGCCGTCGGCGATAAAAACGGACGCGGTCACAAGATTTCCTGAGCCGAGGAACGTGAGGCAGGTTCAGAGTTTTCTAGGATTATCAGGTTATTTCCGTAGATTTATTAGCAGTTACAAACTCGAGGAGCTCGCAGTCATTAAAGCTTTAAAAAATTTCGCGTGTATCTGATAGGCATTCCTTTTAAGATATTGACAGATTGTAAAGCGTTTAGTCTCACTATGAGCAAAAAAGATTTATGTGTGCGCGTGGCGAGGTGGGCTCTGCAATTGGAAGAATTTAATTATACGATTGAGCACCGCCCCGGGAAAGCGATGGCGCATGTTGACGCGCTAAGTCGAAATCCGTTGCCTGTGTGTGTGTGGAATGAGTGCGAAGATAATATAATAACGCGAATTCGGAAAGCTCAATACGAAGACGTTCGTTTGCGAGAAATTATTGAGCTGGTGGAGGCGAAAAAGACTGATAACTTTGTAATGCGAGCAGGAATTTTATATAAATTAACTAGCGATGAAGAGCGAATGGTGATTCCCCGACCGATGCACACGCAAATTATCCGGTACGTACACGAAAAAGGTCATATGCCAGCGGGTAAAACTGAGCGTATAGTCGCGAAAGATTATTGGATTCCGGACTTAAAAGCGAAAGTCGAAAAAGTTGTTCGAAATTGCGTGTTGTGTATCCTAGCCGAAAGGAAGTATGGTAAGAAGGAAGGATTGTTGCATCCCATCGAGAAGGGAGAGACTCCTTTGGACACATTTCATCTTGATCACCTGGGACCGCTCCCTTCGACGCGGAAACAGTATCGATATATACTGGCGGTAATAGACGCGTTTACAAAGTTTGTATGGCTTTATCCTGTTAAGACGGCGAACACAGCGGAGGTGTTGGCGTGCTTAACAAAACAGTCGCATGTTTTTGGAAATCCGAGAAGACTTATTTCGGACCGCGGGTCCGCATTCACCTCCAACGATTTTCAGGAATATTGCAAGGCGGAGGGAATACAACATGTCCTTACCACAACGGGAATGCCCAGAGCCAACGGGCAAGTCGAACGGGTCAACCGGACGTTAATTCCGCTGTTGACAAAGCTGTCTGCCCCCGACCAGAAGAGTGGCATAAATATTTAGATACAGTGCAGAAATATTTGAATGCCACGCAACATAGGAGCATTGGAACGACGCCCTTCAGGTTACTGTTCGGGACAGATATTAAGATGAAAGACGACGTCTCCATCCGAGAATTGGTGGAGAAAGAGCTAATTTCTATATTCGAAGAAAACCGTGATGAAATAAGGAGTCAAGCCAAGGAAATTATTCGACAGACACAGCAGGAGAATCGCCGAGGATTCAACAAGCGAAGGAAGCCGGCTATGCCTTACGTAGTGGGCGACCGGTGGCTATCAAAAGAACGCAGGCTAACCCTGGGTTAAAATTGGCGCACAAGTATTTGGGCCCGTATCGAGTTAAAAAGATATTGCGAAATGACCGCTACATCGTCGAGAAGGTGGGCGTACATGAAGGGCCTTACGAGACATCCACTGCAGCTGAATACATGAAGCGTTGGATAAATGAAGAAGATGAAATAACGACCGATGACGAGGTTTCCGAGGAGAATATCTGAGGACAGATATTAACGCAGGATGGCCGAATGTAGGAATCGAGAATTTATCGTCTTAAGTCCGTTTTTATTTCAAGTTGTTTTGATATATTGTTATTTCTCGTGTTGACGAATCGGTCGTGGCCGAAATTTATTGTGACTTGCGGATCTATTGTCTCGAGCCCGTATTTGTCTTGAGACAGTTTTTGTACTCTTGTTTTGCCATGCGATGGATTAGATATGCGAATTTGAACACTCGATGTGTCGCTTCCTGATTGGCTCACGCGGGGCTTGACGAAGATATAAAGCGTCTCTCCCGAGGTTCCGGGAGAAGAGCACCGAATTTCGCGAAGCCGTAGAGTACGTAGAACTGCGGATAAGTTATCTGAATATACCTATATATTAAACCATTTCTCGTAATACTTTATTATTTGATCCGAAATAAGACACGATCCGTGATTCCTACATATATATATATATATGTGAGGATTTTTTTAATTTTATCTGTAATTTGCATAAAATAGAAAAATTTGTAACGAGTTGTAGAAATCCGTGAGACTCCATTGATCTTTTATTTTTTTACAATAATTATGAAATTATGATTTATAAGTTATAAATAATATTGTAATAAAATTTGCTCGAATCTTATATTCCTCTCAAAGTAAAAAACTTTTGTAAGAAATATTCTAAAATGCATTGTTCAAAAGATATTCGCGTGGATAGATTAAAATCGCCCACCCTGTGTACGTTACATCTCTGATAACACTCCTGACGTTCCTCCTCTGTTTGCTAGGGTACTCAATGTTACCGAAAAATGTATCCGATAATCTTGAGTAACGATACTCTGCATCCTTACGAGAAGCTCGTCGCCATTTATCTACGTGACAATTAGCTTCTTGAATTTGACGAGGCACTCTTCGCCAATCAGCATTACCTGAAAGTGCTAGATCTCACGCGCAACATTCTCTTCAAACTGCCCAAAAATTTCTTCCAGTTTCTGTATCTGCACACGCTTTATCTCGGCCACAACATGCTCTTCGATTCCGCATTCAAGATAAACGTGACCTCGCCTCTCAAACTGCTCCAGCTAAACAATAACATTATACACGTGATCCCAAACATAGGCGTCCAGCCGACTCTCCTTAATCTCAACGTGTCCGACAACAAAATCACCTGAATCAGCACCGAGGATCTGGCGCCTTTCTGCTCGCTGAAAGAGCTCGATTTGACCGGAAATACAATCAGATTCACCGCGAGCAGCTGTGATTGTCAGGAGTTTAACGCCTGGGTGAAGCTACGACAAATCAAGATGAAGCCTAATTTTTACAAATGCACCAATCCACCAGCAGCTCTGAACAAGAACTGTGCCAACGTGAGATTCAGCAATCGGACATACGAGCTGTTCAACGAGTGCTCTATGATACCGCAGAAGATGGAGACCGAGGAAGTTGGAACGGTCTGGATACACGTTGCCTCGTGCATTCCGGTGTTTCTCATCGTGGTCTTTGTGGCGTTGTTTTGCGTGTACAAGCGGTACCGTAGGCGGCGCAAAAGACATTAGGAGCAGCAACAGCTAATAGCCTTTTGACCAGTTTTCGTCATGATCAACAAAAGCGTTATTAATTATCATCTAGAAATGTCGAATAAAATATATTGGACTGTTAATGGTACTTATTGTTGGAAATTACTTTAGACTTTTAATGAAAAAAAAAAAAAAATGAGAAAGCAGGTTTTAACGAGAGTAGAAGAAGACTCTTCCGCGGAGATTAATATATTTACATAAAATATAAACGCGTTAACTTATAAAAAATTTATCAATGTTATTATATTGTGTTCGCGTACATATAATGATTACCATATTTTTATATAAAAATCTATGTAAATGTGCGGAATTTTCGATAAACTCTTTGCGTATTTAAACGAATATTATATCACTCTCAATATTATATACCTTTGACAGCGATATATGTACGAAGAAATGTCGGCGTTAATTTCTTTGATGTCGGTCGAATAACTTCCTCGAAAGCCGATCACTCAATGTCATCGCGTGCTTTTTATCGATGTAATAGCGATTTGTTTTGCAACAGTTTTTTAAAATTATTTACTCCGTGTCTTACGATTGTTAGTGGTAATACTTAGTTTGTTCATACAACTGGCGTTTGCAATTATAAATTTATATTATATAGACAAGAATCTAACTCGCTTTTTAATGTACCCACATTGAAAATGACCATGAAAAATGGTCGAAACGTTCGAAAATTCAATAAAGAGTAAATTTGTTTTGCGTATTGATTTTTGTATGTATAATATATAACTTTCCATTATGATTCTGACTGGCAATCTCCCTTCATTCTACAGAAACGCATTACATAAAAAAAGATATTGCGGAAACGGTCTTTATAATAATGCATAAAGACTCCATGAATTTACAGAAGAGCACAGACAATTTAAAAATTCAATATACGATTTGATTCTTAATATCACATACAGTTTTCCCGAAACAGCTATACCTCCCTTGTTCACTGTTATTGTTTTGATACCAACACGGAAACTTAGTACGTATTGAACTCTCGATCGACACACATCGTCTCTCGATTCACCACACGATTTCATTTGACCGTACCTGTGTAATAAAGTAAAGTTTTGTGGTGTATAAATTTGAATAATTTTCACTAGGTAATGTGACACATTTTTATCATTTCCTTTTATAACTACTATAGTGTCTACTATTTATATATCATACGCGCACGATCATTTCCGTTCCCTTTTCGTTTCTTTTTGTTTATTTTGTATCTTGCATGCCGGTATACAATTATAATGTTCGATAATTTTTTATATTTTTACGGAAATTCATATCAATTAGATTGATTGTAATGTTCATACCACATACGCCTAGGTTTATCGCGTTATATGTGTAATATCTTTATACTTTTTTTTTACTATCAATTTTTAGTACTAATTGTTCTATTTTGTGTATTTAATTTAGATGTATTAAGTGTAGACACTTGACCAGAATAGTCGGTTGAATGTGTCAACAATAACTCTTGAATCGTAGTCAGTCTGGTCGTCTACTTTCACTGTTCTTGATAATATATAACAAAAAATATATGTGAATTACAAAATAATATATAACATATTATATAACAAATATATAATTTAAAAAGTAATAGAAAGAGATGGGGATATATTGTGTAATACTAAAATATTATAAATGATAATGAGGCGGTGTAAGAAGGGAATATCAAATATTGCATTTTCGCGAGGGATTAATTATCCGGTTGCGGCAAAGTTTGGGCAACGTTTATAAGCGTATGTTTCCACTGATTCTGTTGCAGATATGAGCATCTTTTTCATTAACGGATTCTTCTTACTGTGCTTCATCATGGCCACGGTACCGGATGTTCTGGTGCTGGGTTCACCGAAAGCCACGAAACTTGTCGACAAGAATACGCCGCCGATAATGTGCAACTACAGCAGAGCTAATTAAGTACTGAAAGCTCAATGCTCCAATCGAAAATTTAAAAAAATCCCTATGGATTTAAAGGCGGACATACAGGTGAGATTGTCGTTTAAATATTTTCTGCTTAAAATTGCAATAAAATAATTGTCATGTATGTTTTTGTCATTATAAAAGAATATTTTCTGCATATATCGCGAAGATCTTTTTTTAATCTTCTCTAATACAATCCGCATAAAATGGAAGAACCTATAACATTTTCTAAAAATTCGTGAGACTCCGTGTTTTTTTTGACAATAATTATGAAATTAAGTTTAAAGAATTAAAAATAATATAATAAAATTTACTCAATTTTAAAATTGCACGAAATTTGTTTGATTTGAAGGCGGACATAGAGATGAGATTGTTGTTTAAAAATATATATTACTTAAAATTGGAATAAAAACAATAATCATGTATTTTTTATCTATTATAAAAAAATATTTACTGCATATACAGTGATTATTTTTTTAATATTATTTACAATGCATATATAAAATAGAGGGATTCGTAATGAGTTCTAAAAATCCACAAAATTTTGTTTATTTTTTATTTTTAAATATGGGAAATTAAAATTTATAAATTGAAAACAGTATAATAGAACTTTAAATTATTAAATAAAAGTTTCTATTAAATATAATTTTTTATATAAAAGGACCTCGCCCGGTTCTTATGGAAAATGGGGTCCCGGTCAAATTGGCCCAACTTTGATATGATGTAGATTTTGACTCACTGATTAAAAGTCTCAATGGTCATCAGGCCAAATAATGAATAGTTTTGGAGTTACAGTGGCTTTAATATCCAAAATTGACGCCGGACGATACCCGTCGTCCGACGGTATAACGCGATGGTAGGCACTTGATATTTCGTGTGTTTCATCCTTCTCAGAGTCTTCATTTATACTTTTATGTGTTGCACACTTACACATCTATATACACGAATATACATACACGCGCATACACACATACGCGCGCGCGCGCGCGCGCGCACTGTTTGGGTAGCGACATGATTAGAGGACGATATGTATATCGTGTATATAGGTGTGTAAGTGTGCAACACATAAAAGTATGAATGAAGACTCTGAGAAGGATGAAACACATGAAATATCAAGTGCCTACCATCGCGTTATACCGCCGGACGACGGATATCGTCCGGCGTCAATTTTGGATATTAAAGCCGCTGTAACTCCAAAACTATTCATTATTTGGCCTGATGACCATTGAGACTTTTAATCAGTGAGTCAAAATCTACATCATATCAAAAGTTGGGCCAATTTGACCGGGACCCCATTTTCCATAAGAACCGGGCGGGGTCCTTTCAGGTCATATATTTGACTTTGGATAGTCGTTTAAAGGTCATCTTCAATTCTTTAACCCTTTGGAAACCCCTATTTTCAGTGCACATTTCTCTAGCTACTCTTATTTAAGAAATTCAAAATAACTTTTATGTGACATTCAAGCGACTATTCAATATCAAACTAATGACACTATCTTATATTCTCTTCCGAGTTAAAAAACTTATGTACGAAGCATTCTAAAATGCATTGTTCAAACAATATTCGCGTGACTCGATTAAAATCGTTCACTTTGTATACGTTTAATTTTTTCTGACTTTTCTTCTCTGTTTGCTAGATGCTGGATATGAGCGGGAGTCATTTGATGGTACTGACGAATAAAAGTCTGCATTCTTACAAGAAACTGACCTACATCAATCTAGGTAACAATTTCATCTATAAAATTAACAAGGCAGCCTTCGCCAATCAGCCTTACTTGGAGGTGCTGAATCTCACGAAGAACTTAATGTACACACTGCCCAAAAGTATCTTCCAATTGCCGTATCTTCACTCACTCTACCTCGACCGTAACCTGCTCCACGATTCCGTGTTCAAGGTAAAGGTCACATCGCCTCTCAGAGTGCTGGAGCTAAATAGGAACTTGCTATCCGTGATCCCGAACATAGGCGTCCAGCCGACCCTCCTTAATCTGAACCTGTCCGGCAACGTAATTACCTCGATCAGCACCGAGGATCTGGCGCCGTTTTGCTCGCTGAAGGACCTTGACCTGACCAGTAATAGGATCAGATTCAACGGGAGCAGCTGCGATTGTCAGAAGTTCAGCGCGTGGGTGAAGCTGCGGCAGATCAAGATAAAGACAGACGATCTCTACAAATGTACCGAGTCACCGGCAGCTTTGAACGAGACCTGCGCCAACGTAAGATTCAGCAATCGGACGTACGAGCTGTTCGACCAGTGCTCGGCCATGATACCGCAGAAGATAGAGACCGAGGAAGTTGGAGCGGTCTGGATAAGCGTCGCCTTATGCATTATAGTGCTCCTCTTCGTAGTGTTTATGGCGTTGTTTTACGTGTACAGCGGTACCGTAGGGAGCAGATAGAGAAACTAATAGCGAACGATTACGTCGAGCTGTACCGACAGTAACTTGACTGTAATTAGTAAAACAGCTCTTTGACGGCAGAAACATTATTTATTTTTCCTAAATATATATTCGATTAAATGCTCTGTGAATTTTGAGTCGATTAAACTCTTTCTATAAACACAAACACTACAGTTCTTGCTCTCTTTCTCTTTTTTTTTTAGTTATAGCAAAACATCGTTTATTTGAGAAATAAATTGCTAATAAAGAGCGAGAACTATCGTGCTTGTGTTTATTGGAAAAGTTTAATGACTCAGGATTCACAAGGCATTTAATCGAATATATATCTACGTACCAATGTTTGTATGTGATCCAATGTTGTATCAATTTTTGGAATATTTATTAGAATATTTTAGAAAGAGTACACTGGACATACATTAGACATCCTTATGCCATCTGGGTATGAGTATATTAATCTCCGCGGAGCTGTCTTCTTCATTGATTACTTTCGTTAAAGCCTGTTTTCTCTTTTTTCCATTTACAATATTAAGCAATCTCCAATAATAAGTACTATTAAACGTCCAAAAGTTTTTTTTCGATATCTCTGACTTCTGGAGATACATATATTATATAGCCTCTTGAACACAGACGTTATGATCAATAAAAGCGTTATAAATTATCATTCAGTTATGAAAAAGGCAATTTCGCGGAGATTAATATATTTATACCCTGACAGCACAAAAATGTCTAATGTATGTCCGGAGAATATTCGTTCTTAGACATTGAGATATTCTTAATCAATCCAAATAAGGTCTATCGGACATTCGATGAACGTCCATTAGTTGGACATTTGTCATAATTTGGTACATCTACAGAATGTCCGAAATATAGCCAGCTTTGGAGCTTGCTCAATTATTGATTTTGGATCTATTATGGAATGATTTAGGATATCTTTTTTTAATTGTAAATTTTTATTAACAATAACAATTAAATAAATTTTGTTTAGCTTTTATTTTTATTTTATGAAAAATATAATTATATATATGTGTTAAGAAATATTTAAAACAAAATATTATATCGCTTTTATATTATTTTTGAACGATAAACTTTGGTACAGGAAGGACAGCCATTTAATAAAATATTATTAATTTGTTAATACTTAATATTATATATTAATAAGTAAATAACTTTTCTTCAATATCAATAATATATACATTTAACAGATATGTACAATAATAAATACATTTTTATATTAGATGAATATTATTGATATTGCTGATAGTTAACTCTCACAGCAGAAATTTGAAATTAATATATGATGACTTATCATGTTTAGACGCACAATACAAAAAATGTATGTGATATATTATATACCGATTTACGCGCAATTTAAATAGTGAAAAATAGATAATTGTGTTAACAAAATCCGCAATATTTTAACATACTTGTAACGCAAACAATCTATGTGTACAGAACAAAAACATACAAATTCTGTGTAATAAATAAAAGAAATATACAATGTAAAAAGGGAAAAAATACATATATATAACGAGCAGCCCTATACTTTCCTATACACCTATATTTATTGGTGGCTACTATTAACTGGATTTCGGTAAAGTGCATGTGCACTTATTTTCTATAGTAAACGTAACGTTATAAATAAATGCGTGTATATGCACTCTAGGGAATCCGGCCATTATATTTGTTCCACTAATATAAATGATTAGGCAAAAAAATCCTAGGATCGAGTCCGAGAAAGACAGTGCCGGTTTGGGTGCTTGGCCGTTCCCGTGCAAACTCAAGTAAAATAATAATAAGTTTTTGCTAACAAAAAATTAGTTCAAAGAAGACTAAAAAATTTTACTAATTATAATTATTTTTAATTCAAATTGTTCCATTAATATAAAATACGTAATCTATATGAGAAATTAACTATACTAATTTTTCAGGAAATATGTATTGCACCTGATACGTTTCGGAAAAAAGATTACCTAATCTAAAATATGCGATTGAAATGATAGTTACACATAAGTATAAAATGCGAGATAATACATATATAAATCCTTCTGGTGTCATCTTTGGGTGGCACAACAAAGGCCACATTCCATGCTCTCCATATAAGAGATTATATTGTACTCACAACGATATTAAACAAGAATGTATACAAAAATATAACATCGAAGATTGGGAATTGCAACCATACTACGTGTTGTTAAATGAATATAACCTGGTGTTTTATGTTCCACAATGTACGATTATTATTTTAAATGCTTTATTACACATTATATTTCTATATTCTGTAATATTTTTATTTATATTATTTATGTTACATCGTATAATAAATTTGATACTTAATTTTTTATCTTACATTTTTATTTTAGGTGTTATAACATCGACATACAAAGAAATGGATAAACCATATATTGAAAAGGGATAATCCAGATTTTGGAAATTTTTCTGTAAATTTAAAGGTACTCATTATGTGCCAAACAAAATGCTAGAAAACATTATCCAGATTATGCTGCAGTCGTTCGCGAAATATTGAGTAATCGTAAATATTATAATATTTTGGATGGTACAAAAGTGTGTATGTGTGTGTTTTGTGTCTGCTTATTTTTACGACGGCCTAGATTAAAATTCAGATTAAAATTAAAAAATATTGTCTATTTGATACCCATCTCTCAGAAGTAATGATTGTAAAATCATCTAGAGTATCTTGCAAAAGAAGCAGTATCTTTATTAAATTCCGCAACAATTATATTTAGAGAAGCTTATATTCTGACAAGGAAATGTGATAAAATGATGTGTTAAAATGTTTTGGATGTCCAAATAATTATATTAATAACATATATAATAATTTCGAAATATTTACACACACAAAGACACACCCGGACACACACATTTATGTATTCACACACAATAAATAAACATTTCTTTAGAGTTTCAACAATAATTGCTGCCTTTATTTCATGATATTGATTGGAAATTTCGCTGAAGACCTGCTATCATATTTAATTTATTTACATTTCAATTTTTTATTAAAAAGAAAAAAAATGATTTTTAGTATACAAATTCATTATGTGCTATCACATTATAAAAAACAATAGCAAAATTTTGAAGATGCATTTTCAAAATTTTAGCTATAACTAGATTTTTAATTGCAAAATAGAAACATTTTCTATTAAAATTATGCCTTAAAAAGATTATGAGTTATAATAGCAAATAACTTAATTGTAAGCAAAAATTGGTATTATTTTATTTGTGAGAATTCATCAGAAATGAGTTAATAACATTGTAAACAATTTAAACGAGGCGTTATATATATATATAAAATAAATATGAATTATATTGCCACTAATAAAGAAGCTAGACCGAAAAATGTCCAGTGTACGGCCGACATTAGTATTATTGTGGACACCGAATAAAAGATAAAGAAATATTTATTTTATCTTTTTCCAAAGTCCCTACCACTTTCAGAGCGCCTTTATTATTGGCGCGCCTTTAAGCAGCAATCAGTGGCTAATCTAATTCCGTTCGATCAAAGAAAATTAAGTGCATCAAGAAAAATTGCAAAATGATGTTTTTTTATATTGTATTTGTTTTATTGTATATATTTTATACGTATGCATCTCGTATGCAAAATTTACTCCCATAAATATACCGGATTTTTACTTACCTTATACTTATTACTTTCAATTAATTATTAAGAAAAACTCGTTTAACGATTAGACAAACGTTCTGATAAGAATTATAATTATGAAAAATAAAATAAATTTTTATCCGTTATGGATTATAATTCGGTAAAGTTTTTATACGTATTTTCGAATCTTTTCGATTTATGCAACAGAAGTGCATCTCAAGTCTTATATGTAGTTTCATTTCATATGATGAATATGTTCCATAACGCATGTTGCTGAATTTACACGTCTGTAAATTATTTTCAGTGTGTTACAATGTTACAAATACAATTTATGTTTGTTTTAATTTCTGTAAGGAGTTTCTGTTGCGCAAGACGCCTAAGCATTGTCGAAAATTTGTGTCTAACTATTTTACATAGTTACTGACAACCAGTCACACGAGCCAATCACGGTTCCTCCGATACGTGTTTCTAAGTCGAATACGAACATATTTTTGAAATAGGGTTTATCGAACAGCTGATTTATTTTTGCTTACGAGAAATCACTTTATGCTTATCGCCGTCTCTTGTGGAAACAAAAATATAATTCAGAGAGACATGTATTTGTATATTTATATGTGTGTATATATAAACCTGTGTTGTGTACGTACGTGTGCGTGTTTGGATTTTTATATCTATTTTTCCCCAACAGATGGCGAGGACCGAGAAGTGATTTCCGTAAACGAAATAACACCAGCTGTCTATATAAGAACGCTATTTCAAAATTTGGTTAAAGTAATTCGCGTCGGGGATTACCGTGATCAGAAAGGCGGTTCCCCCAGTCAATGGTCACTAGGACTGCTTGACTGTAACTATATACAATATAGCTTAGGCGCATAATTTTTGGTAGTGTGGGGTGCTCGTGCTTCGATGTACCCCACGGCTAAACTAAGTCAAACATAAATTGAAACATACTCGTATGCGTGGCGAACGTCGGACGAAGGCGCTGACTCGGGACTCGAACTCGGGATCTCCATTTTCGGGATGCTGGACCCTTGACCACGATGCTATGCTGGACCTACGAATTGAGATATTTTTTTCGTATACTTAAGCTTCTTGGTCGACCGGTCAGCAACGTATTTTAGTTTCCGAATAGGTCGTTTACTTGAACTGTCACTTTTAAATTTCACGCAGTCATTGAAAATTGTTTGCAGAGTTGTGTAAAATCAGTAACAATTGCTTTACGAAATTATTTGTCGTATAAAATTTTAACTACATATAAAACTGAGGTGTATACATTTATTGAATAAATATTATTTACGGAAATAAATATATATATACATATATTTTACATTTAATAGCTTAATACTTGAAATATTTGTTATATAAAATGAAATAACTTTTTCTCGTATGCACGCACATGCATCAAATTCATATTTTAATATCACTCAAAATTTTTATAGGCAATTTCTAGCAATATTTCTAGCAATAATTTAGTAGGTATAAGCATGAAGAATATAAATTTTAGAGAAAAGAAGAAATGTATCAAATATGCTAATTTATATCTATATATGCGTTGTGTATGCATTTTGCATGTGCTCACATTCACATTTAAATCTATCTTACTTTTATTTTTTATCTGTATGTTTAATCTATATTATACTATGTTTTAACAATAAAACATCTGCGTAACGATGCAGAATAGAATTTTTAATTACATATACAATAAATAAATAGATTTACAGATAAATAAATAGAATTTATTTATATATAAATAAAATATATTATATATATTTATAATAATTAATTATAGTGTTTATTTATAGAATGACGTGAGGAATTGATTTTTTTTAAAAAGTTCATTTTAAAAAATGATGAGGATGCAGGACCTACGATTTGACACCTTTTTGTTCGTGTATTTAAAGCGATTTTTCGTCGGACGTGAATGCATTTTCGTTGACAGAACGTTTGTTTCCTTGAACTACCGTTTTCAGATTTCACTTAGTCACTTAGAAATATTTTACCGAGACGCGAATATCAGAAAGAAATATTAAGCGTATAATATCAGAAAGTATGATGAAAATATTGACAATGAAACATCTGCATAATGATGTAGAATAGAAGGTAAAATTTTAAATAATATACATGTGTAAATAGATGAAATATTCTGGATGTTTTTTATAGCAATATTTTAGTATAAGAACGAATAATAAATTTTAAAGAAAAGAAGAAATGTGATAAACAATAGAATTGATAACATACGAAAAATCATCATTAGAAATAATTATTTTTGTTTATTATACCTTTATTAATTCTATTTAATAAAAAATAAAATAAATAAAATTTAATTTTAAAAAAGCATATTTGATTGATGAAATATGTTTCGTGTGATAAATTGCGATTATAATTTTGACAATGAATTTGACAGAAAATATATAAAGCTACAAATAATATACTTTACTCTGTATTATATCAATCAGATCTAATTGTTTCGTTGCTTTTGCAAATTTGTAAAATTATATAGTAATAAAACATAATTTATCTGCGAATGAAACGTTATGAAAAGAAGAAAGAAAAAAATAATACGCGAAATTAATTTTGACATATTGTGTATATTTTTTGCGTGCGTTGGCCGAGACATCCGGGACAATATTATCTAAAAATAGATCTCTACACAATGTATATTTGATGAAAGAAAAAAACTACAACACGATACACTCATTTAGCCGGTCATTTATCGTATATATTTCTACGCGCGTTTTATTTTTACCTCCAATTTGTATTAATCGCGCGCTTCTACGCAAAACTATAGCTCAGTAAAATTAGACTGGAAAAGGGCAAAACTTCAAAAAAATTCTAATCAGGTTGAATTTTTGTGGAGACCTTTATTAATAAATAACAATAGACCTTTATTTATAAATAACGTCGAAATTTTGATGTTTTAATAAAATCCTCAAAAGTACTTTTAATATCAGCCAGAGCATTTTTTATGGGAAAGAAATTAATAGTCTTTTGTATTATCTCAAAATTATCAACTTTTCAAGAAAAATTGTTATTATCAAAATTGTAGCTCGGAAAATTCTCTACAAAAAGATCATTATACTTTTTTTCGTACAACTAATCGTTTTTGAGTAAAACGTGCGATAAAGTTGCAATATTTCTAATATAATTTTTCTGCACCTCTTACAAAGTAGTAATGTGTACATTTTCTTTCAGACTTAATTTGCTCTATATCTTCAAAACGATTAATTTCACGGAAACAAGTATGACTTTTTTGTAGGGAATTTTATAAGCTACAATTTTAATAATAACTATTTATCTCGAAAAATTGATAGTTTTCGAGATAATGGCAAAAAACTACAATTTATCCCTTTTCATCCGCCATGAAAAAACGTCCTGGCTGAAATTAAGAGTATATACTTTTCAGGATTTCATTAGAATATCGAAATAAATAAGGTCTCCACAAAAATTCAGTTTGATTATAATTTGTTTGAAGTAAAAGTCTAATTTTACTGGACTAAAACAAGGAAGCTCGGCGAGAAGACGAACGAGGATATAAGTGAGCCGACGACGACACCGGTCTGGGTGCAAATATAATTCGCGATCTCCTCGTGGGCGAGTTAAGTGTTCGTGGCGAGACGTGGTAAACACAGAACAGGCCACAATTAAGGAAACACGATATCTCCGTTCGCGACTGACGTGGCTAGATTGCGCATTTCGCTTTGAATTTGCTTTAAAGCGCGGAAAATTTACGATGGCGAGCGCACACGCGAACTCCGGAAGGTCATACGACAGAATTAACACGAGTACATGTATATTAAAGATGAGTTTCCTTTCTACCTTCATGCATCGCTTCTGTACATTTTTTTCTGCAAAATTTAACTAATTTTTTTTTACTTTTTTTTCGAGGAACCATCTGCGTTTCTGGTCGAGACGATATATACATATATATATATACAGGACATACAGGTGAGATTGTCGTTTAAATATATTTTATTTAAAATTGCAATAAAATAATTGGTATGTATATTTTTACCATTATAAAGAATATTTTCTGCATATATATATATATATATTGTAGGTGGTGTCAGGATAGTTTTAGATGATGTCAGGGCGTAATTCTAATAAGGCTTCTAGTGGATCTTAACAAAGGATCTTTATTAGGTTAAACTGTACTCGATAGGACACGCACGACGGCTCGCACTCTGCGAGGAACTGACCTCTTAACCTTCTCCCTTCTTTCTTACGCAGCGCCGCCAGGGGGGGAGAGGAAACGTAATTCGCCGCTCACGCGTGTATATAAATGAATATCGGTAGAATAATAATTCGCCTACAGTCGGCCAGCCTGACATTACGACCGTCTCGGTCGTACGTATAGGAACAAAACGTATTAAGTAAATATATCCAAGATATACAATTTCCGTTCGGACAAAGAAACATTTATCGAGTCTAAACTGCAACCGGTATCGTCGCACTATTCAAATACATCTTTCAAAATATTTAGGTGTTCCTCTATACTTTCAGTCGCTATCAAAGATTCGCGGCACACAGCGCGAATAACCGTCAAAATATTCGCGACACACAGCGCGGAATATTCGGTCTTTCAGCACGCAGCAAAGATTCGCGGCACACAGCGCGAATTACCGTCAAAATATTCGTGGCACACAGCGCGGAATATTCTGTCTTTTAGCACGCAGCAAAGATTCGCGGCACACAGCGCGAATTACCGTCAAAATATTCGCGACACACAGCGCGGAATATTCTATCTCACAAGGATATCGCGTTACACGTCGATTCACCGCGCGCGATACGTGGACTCGCTTTCTCTCGTACGCGGCGGAACAATTAGCACGCAGCAAAGATTCGCGGCACACAGCGCGAATTACCATCAAAATATTCGTGGCACACAGCGCGGAATATTCGGTCTTTCAGCACGCAGCAAAGATTCGCGGCACACAGCGCGAATAACCGTCAAAATATTCGTGGCACACAGCGCGGAATATTCTGTCTTTTAGCACGCAGCAAAGATTCGCGGCACACAGCGCAAATAACCTTCAAAATATTCGTGGCACACAGCGCGGAATATTCTGTCTTTTAGCACGCAGCAAAGATTCGCGGCACACAGCGCGAATAACCGTCAAAATATTCGTGGCACACAGCGCGGAATATTCTGTCTTTTAGCACGCAGCAAAGATTCGCGGCACACAGCGCGAATAACCGTCAAAATATTCGTGGCACACAGCGCGGAATATTCTGTCTTTTTGCACGCAGCAAAGATTCGCGGCACACAGCGCGAATAACCTTCAAAATATTCGTGGCACACAGCGCGGAATATTCTGTCTTTTAGCACGAGCAAAGATTCGCGGCACACAGCGCGAATAACCTTCAAAATATTCGTGGCACACAGCGCGGAATATTCTGTCTTTTAGCACGAGCAAAGATTCGCGGCACACAGCGCGAATAACCTTCAAAATATTCGTGGCACACAGCGCGGAATATTCTGTCTTTTAGCACGAGCAAAGATTCGCGGCACACAGCGCGAATAACCTTCAAAATATTCGTGGCACACAGCGCGGAATATTCTGTCTTTTACAACGAGCAAAGATTCGCGGCACACAGCGCGAATAGCCTTCAAAATATTCGTGGCACACAGCGCGGAATATTCTGTCTTTTTACTCGAGTAACACAAGACACGGTTTTCTCTGCATCGACCACAACACTTGGTCGTACTTTTCAAAGTCCCGTGTATCTCTCGTGCGTGTATTAACCTCACGGATCCTTCGCTAACTTCTTCTTCGATCCCACTTCTGAAGTTGTAGGTGGTGTCAGGATAGTTTTAGATGATGTCAGGGCGTAATTCTAATAAGGCTTCTAGTGGATCTTAACAAAGGATCTTTATTAGGTTAAACTGTACTCGATAGGACACGCACGACGGCTCGCACTCTGCGAGGAACTGACCTCTTAACCTTCTCCCTTCTTTCTTACGCAGCGCCGCCAGGGGGGGAGAGGAAACGTAATTCGCCGCTCACGCGTGTATATAAATGAATATCGGTAGAATAATAATTCGCCTACAATATATATATATATATAATTGTGAGGATTTTTTTAATCTTATCTATAATTCGCATAAAATAGAAAAATTTGTAACGAGTTGTAGAAATCCGTGAGACTCCATTTTATTTTTTATTTTTTTTTACTATAATGAAATTATGATTTATAAGTTATAAATAATATTGTAATAAAATTTCCTCGAATCTTATATTCTTCTCAAAGTAAAAAAACTTTTGTAAGAAATATTCTAAAATGCATTGTTCAAAAGCTATACGCGTGGATAAATTAAAATCACCCACCCTGTGTACGTTTCATCTCTGATAACACTCCTGACGTTCCTCCTCTGTTTGCTAGGTGCTCAATGTTATCGGGAAAATGTACCCGATAATCTTGAGTAACGATACTCTGCATTCTTACAAGAAGCTCGTCGCCATCTATCTATGTGACAATTGGCTTCTTGAATTCGACGAGGCACTCTTCGCCAATCAGCATTACCTGAAAGTACTGGATCTCACGCGCAACATTCTCTTCAAACTGCCCAAAAATTTCTTCCAGTTTCCGTATCTGCACACGCTCTATCTCGGCCACAACATGCTCTCCGATTCCGCATTCAAGATAAACGTGACCTCGCCTCTCAAACTGCTCCAGCTAAACAATAACATTATACACGTGATCCTGAACATAGGCGTCTAGCCGACCCTCATTCATCTCGACGTGTCCTACAACGTAATCACCTCGATCAGCACCGAGGATCTGGCTCCCTTCTGCTCGCTGAAAAAGCTCGATCTGACCGGAAATAGAATCAGATTCAACGCGAGCAGCTGTGATTGTCAGGCGTTCAACGTCTGGGTGAAGCTACGACAGATCAAGATGAAGCCCGATCTCTACAAATGCATCGATCCACCAGCAACTCTAAACAAGGACTGCGCCAAAGTGACATTCAGCGATCGGACGCACAAGCTGTTCAACGAGTGCTTGGCAATGGCACAACAGAAGATGAAGACCGCGAAAGCCTCGATTGGTCTGAAGAAGCGTCGCCCCGTGCGTCTCGGTGTTCTTCTTCCTAGCGTTGTTCGTGCACAAGCGATACCGTAGGCGGCACATAAAGCAGGAGGAGCAGCTAACGGCGATCTACGACACACACCAAACTATTCCAACAGCAACCTGACGATGATTAGTGAAATAATCGCCGAATAAACGTAGAATCCTGTTAAAAGGGCTGTTTCTGGCGTCGACAATCGAGAGTAGAATTTTG